TAGGTTTCAAGTGTCGAGGTTTGCGGTATTAACTTCCCTCTACTTATAAGATTCTAAACGAATTTTAGTTTGGAAAAGTCATTAAAGTTTCTTGGTTTTTCAGGGTCTTTCAACTTTCAATACCAAAAAGAGTAAGAATTTTGCGCGCACGATTTTACGGACACCACTGCACCCACAGCGTTATCGTTTTTAGGGGTGGAAGGTATTACTAATACCTACAAAATGTCACAGGATTTTCTTGATCTGGCCATTTTGGAGTTTTCTGTGGCAAATTTAAGATATTTTATTTTTGTAAAACTCTTAAATTTGCCACCAAAAATTTCAAAACGGCCAGATCAAAAATATCCTGTGACAATTCGGGCAACGTTAGAAGGACCCGTTGCATTCTAAGTTTCAGATTGACCTGAAATTTAAATAACTCACACGGACGATTTATTTAACTACGAAACTGTGCACTAACCTCTCTATTAAGGGGGCATCCTAGTGTAGCAGGCCTAAAAATAGCTGTTTTTTGCGAATTTTTTTTTAAACGGAAGCAACCGAGGGAAAACTAGGTTTGCCACATAAACGTACACATCTTTCTCCGTCCAAAACTGCTAAAATGTTGACTAACACCTCACGTATACCGGAAAAACGGCCTGAAAAAGAAAAAAAAAACAAAAAAAAAAAACAAAAAAAACGCGTCGCGAATGTTGTGTATCTACCCTCCAAATGGTCCGGTCGAGCTCAATTTTTTTCTGCTAGCTCTCAGGTAGTGTGGCTATGGCATGAACCTCCAGTTTAGGCCTCGGTAAACTGGAACCTTGTCAAAGAAAATCGTAAAGTTGAAATTTTACCTAATTTTTTGAAACAAAAATTTTAGTGTAATCAAAAAAATGGTAATAATCATTTGTTTTTAAAGTTAGAGGTTCATGCCATAGCGGCAAGTGTAAAGAACATGCAGACACCGGGGTTGGCCCGATCGGACCATTTGGAGGGTAGATATCGTCCACGACATTCGAGACGCGTGTTTTCTCGCAGACCGTTTCTCCGGTATGCGTGAGGCGTTAGTCAACCCTTAAGCAGTTTCGGACAGAGAAAGATGTGTACTTTTATGAAGCAGACCTAGTTTTCCCTCTGTTGCTTCCGTTTGAAAACAAGCAATACCGCCCTTCCGCCAAACGGAGTTGCCAGCTCTACTTCGCTGCGCCGGCAACTCCGTTCGGCAGGGGCCGGGCCTGCTTGGCCTGCCAGCGGCGATGCTCGGGCCTTCGGCCCGACCATTTCAGTCTGGCGATTTACTGAAGTGCATAATCAAATAATGTGACCGGTAAATCACTTTAAAGCATGCAATTGCATATTTGCAGCCGGTAGCAACTCCGTACGGCCGGGCTGACAAACTGTCTCGGCCGCGCCGCTGGGCCGGGGCGGCGCCCGCGCGCGCTGCAGCTCTCTTGTCTATTTGTCGTGCCACCCAAACTTCTTGACCGTTGGATTTTTAGCCCGCTCTTTTGCTTAAAAGCTATATAAGCGGGCTTATGCCATCGCCTCTGTGTTCGTCTGTCTGTCTGTTTGTCCGTTTCCCAAGAAGGACGTGGGCTAGAGGTTTGAAATTTTCAGGGTATTATTGTTGTCACTTCTGGTCAACGAAACGGTTGGTGCAAATCCTGGCAACCACCCCTGAGTGTGTCTGAGGGGGTAACAAAGAAATAGGGGTTGGTCCAAGAAGTGGAAAAAAAATATATTTTTTTTATGTTCACCTAAGGGGTAACTCGTGAAAGTAGAGCCCTTCCGACGAAAATTTTGTCCGTTTGGCTCTATCTTTCACAGTTTACGCGCTAGAGGGAGTTTTACCCACGAAAGTGGCTTAAAAATAATGCTCCCTGCCGAACCGAGTTGCCGGTGGAGCGAAGCGGAGCTGGCAACTTGGTTTGGCGGAAGAGCGGGCCCAGCTTGTTCATACCTGGAGGGCCGTTCAAACCGCTTGACGAGCCGCAGGACGAAATATCGTGAATTTAATCGTTCTAAACACATTTCAGGTGGCAAAAGTGCTAAATTATAAACTGTGAATGTCTCAGAAACATATTATGACATGGTTGAAGTCCGTACGTACAATATTTTGCGAGTGACAAGTTTCTACGAAATATGGTGTTTCCGGGCGGGTCGTGCATTACAAATTGGATCCATTCTCTCTTTTCGAGGTGAGTATAGAAAAGTCGCACCCTGCGATTCTGATTCGGCATGATCCGTGGAACATCTGATTCACTGGTGGTCGGTGGGTTAAAAGCGTTTTTCTCCTCGAAAAAAATGAAAATAGGGTGCCCTGTCACGTCTGCGGACCCCGTAGGTCGAGTTCAACTCGCATTTTAAAGTGTTTCCGGTTCGATTCAGGAGCTTTTATTTATATCATTAGATTCCTCGTTCTTTTCTCTTTCTAGCGCTATAAGGCGCTTTGTTAAAAGGAGGTCTGGTACAGGAGAAATGACAAATAGAAAAGAGAGCTGCAGCGCGCGCGGGCGCCGCCCCGGCCAAGCGGCGCGGCCGAGACATTGTGTCAGCCCGGCCGTACGGAGTTGCTACCGGAAGATATTTAAGTAAACGTAGGAGACCATAGGGGGGCCTGTGGCCCTAGAAATTTGCTCCTCGGACATGACAAAAGACTTTAACGGGGCAACACCGTGACTACACCCCACCCTCCTGCTTTGCTTAAGAATAAACAAGCAGGCCCGCCCTTCCGCCAAACGAAGTTGCCAGCTCCGCTTCGCTCCGCCGGCAACTCCGTTCGGCAGGGGCCGGGCCTGCTTGGCCTGCCGGCGGCAATGGTCGGGCCTGCGGCCCGACCATTTCTGTCACGCGATTTGCTGAAACACATGACCGAATGATGTAGCGGGCCTTCGGCCCGCTTTATAAACCCGTCGTCTTTGATTTTGCCCCAAGGACTCGAGAAAGGGATGTAACGGTGAAGCACCGTGACTTCAACCCACCCTTCTGCTTAGAAAACGTTTTTTGGGGGTAGGGGAAGAGTTTCCTTTCTATTTTGCGGTTTTTAGGCCTTTTACTACAACTTATTGTTCACTATGGCAATTTTTAGTTTATTTTTGTCAAAAAAGACCCTCTAGCACCGAAACGGTTAGAGGTTTGGCAAAACGAAGGGCCCGAAGGGCTCTACTTTGACGAATTGCCCCTTAGAGGAACATAAAAAAAAATTAACTTTATTGAAGAATTTTTGAACCTTGGATACCCCCATTCACACCCATAGGGGTGGTTGCCAGGATTTGCCGTAGGCGTTTCGTTCTCTAGAAGTGGACCTTAAGATACCCTGAAAATTTCAAGTCTCTAGCACATCTCCTTCTAGTGGAACAGACAGACAGACACACAGACAGACACACAGACAGACACGAGGTCGTTTGCATAAGCCCGCTGGATAGCTTTTTCAAAGCAGAAGGGCGGGCTAAAAAATGAACCCGCGCGTTCAGGCTTACAAATCACGAGATTGTATATTGCTGTTCAAACAGCCTTAAAACTTGACTTTTTCCCATTGTTTTCAATATATCCACCTCTAGGGCCGCAACAGTAAAAGATACGGCTAATCCGAGGGTAGTTCCTGATTCAGAATGTGTTGTCTTGGGAAGGTACTTTCTCTGACATTTTACGATTGGATGCCTCCTTGTACGTCTTTATGTGATGTGCAACGTGGTCATTTTCGACGTATTTTCGTCGAAAAAAGCACTCCAGCAGGACAAAATGCAACAGGTGGTGTTGAACGATCTCCCGCCTCCCACCCTGCGCCGCGCTGTCTGGTAGAAACGGGTTCGTTAAAAAACACGTCTTTTTAAGGCCTGCTACACTAGGATGCCCCCAAACAATTCGAAGCAGAGGGGTGTGGTGTTGCACCATTACAGCCCTTTCTCTTGTCTGAGGAGGAAATCTTAAGGGGGAATCCTAGTATAACGGGCCCAAAATAGGGGTGTTTTCGGGAATCATTTTAAAAGAAACTATTGCTTCGCCGCAAAAACCCAATACACCGTTCCACCACTGCAGGCACGTAGCGCCATCTTCAGCGTGCTGAATCTCCGAACCCCGGGGGGTATTGGCAACACACACCGGGTGTTTTTTAGCCCGCCCTTCTGCTTTGAAAAAGCTATCCGGCGGGCTTATGCAAACGATCTCGTGTCTGTCTGTCTGTGTGTCTGTGTGTCTGTTCCACAAGAAGGAGATGTGCTAGAGACTGCAAATTTTCAGGGGATCCCAAGGTTCACTCCCACAAAACAAAACGCCTACGGCAAATCCTGTCAGCCATCCCTATGGGGCTTAAAGGGGGTATCGAAGAAAACAGGAACGGCCAAAAGTTGGAATTTTTTTTTTGTATGATCTCCTCATGGGAACCTTGTGAAAGTGGAACCCTTTGAACGAAACTTTCGTCCGTTTTGCTCTATCTCTCACCGTTTGGGCGCTAGAGTGAGTTTCTCTCACAAAAGTGGCCCAAAAATTAATTTATTAATTTTCGAAAATATTGGATGGTCTGCCAGGGGGTAACTCGTCAAAATAGAGCCGTATGGACGCAAATTTCGTCCGTTTTGCTCTATCTCTAACCGTTTAGGCGGTAGAGGGTCTTTTTTGACGAAAATAAATAAAAAATTGCCATAGTGAAGAAAGTTGTAGTAAAATGCCGAAAAACCGCAAAGTAAAAAGGAAACTCTCCCCCCACCCCCAAAAACATTTTCTAAGCACAAGGGTGGGTTGTAGGTGCGGTGCCTCACCGTTACATCCCTTTCCCGAGTCTTTGGGGCAAACTCAAAGACGACGGGTTTAAGCGGGCCGAAGGCCCGCTACATCAGTCGATCATGTTCTTCAGCAAATTGCGTGACAGAAATGGTCGGGCCGCAGGCCCGACCATCGCCGCCGGCAGGCCAAGCAGGCCCGGCCCCTGCCGAACGGAGTTGCCGGCGGAGCGAAACGGGGCTGGCAACTTCGTTTGGCGGAAGGGCGGGCCTGCTTGTTTCTTTAAAGTAGTGTTTACTGAACGGTGTATTGGGTTTTTGCCGCGGAGCAATAGTTTCTTTCTAAAAATTTCCCGAAAACACCCCTTTTTTGGGCCCGTTACACTAGGATCCACCTTCAAGGGCCGCACGTCTGCCCCCTTGAAGCCTACGTTTTCTGTCTAGTGACTATGGGCTAAGAGGTCGGGCTCCTATATTGTCGAGACGCCATCAGCAGGCCAAGCAGGCTCGGCCCCTGCCTAAAGGAGTTGCCGGTGGAACGAAATGTAGCTGGCAGCTTCGTTTGGCGGTAGGGCGGGCCTACTTGTTAAAAACTCCAATTAAAATGGGATCCAAGTACTCAACTCCTGCCATAAAAATGTATTTCGGGCAGGTTCACTACGTCAACAAGAACTTCACCATCGACAAGGAGATCCTTAAGGGGTGCTGAACCTCTAAACAGCAGTTTTTGGGGCATTTTTGATTATTTTCTGTTCAGAAAACTATAAGGTATATTCTAAATCGGTTTGCGGTACCAACTTCCCTCTACTATTGAGGTTCTACACGAATTTTAGTTTCGTAAAGTCATCAAAGTTTCTTGGTTTTCCAGGGTCTTTTAACTTGCAATACCAAAAAGAGTAAAATTCTTGCGCGCACGATTTTACGGACACCATTGCACCCACAGCTTTCTTATTTAGGGGGGAGGAAGGTACTACTAATACCTACAAATTGTCACAGGATTTTTTTGATCTGGCCATTTTGAAATTTTTTGTGGCAAATTCAAGATATTTTCTTTTTGTAAAATTCTTAAATTTGCCACCAAAAATTTCAAAATGGCCAGATCAAAAAAATCCTGTGACAATTTTTAGGTATTAGTAGTATCTTCCTTCCCCCAAAATAAGAAAGCTGTGGGTGCAATGGTGTCCGTAAAACCGTGCGCCCAAGAACTTTACTCTTTTTGGTATTGCAAGTTAAAAGACCCTGGAAAACCAAGAAACTTTGATGACTTTACGAAACTAAAATTCGTGTAGAACCTCAATAGTAGAGGAAAGTTAATACCGCAAACCGATTTAGAATATACCTTATAGTTTTCTGAACAGAAAATAATCAAAAATGCCCCAAAAACTGCTGTTTAGAGGTTCAGCACCCCTTAACGCGCTGCCTTTCCCGCGAGGACGTGTCTACAAGGACAGGCTAGAAATGTGGAACGAAAAGGAAGAGCTAACGTACTGCATCATACTCAGTTTCACATGGAAATACGTCGCGATCCGGGATTAGAGGACGATGATGAGACAAGTTGTGGTGTGGTGGTAAAGCTGCATAGCCTAGAGTTCGACCGCGGACCAAGGGGTGAACAACTGGGCTGAGCCGGGGACAGAGTACTATATTACAACGTAACAAAGGTAATACAGGCAATACGAATATCAATGTATTACAAGGTATTACAGATCATACAAGGTAATACAAGTAATACATGCTAATAAGAAATACAAGTAGTACAAGTACTGTAAAGTAGGACGGTGGTGTAATATAAGGCATTACAAGTAATATTAGGTATTGTGAGTAATACACTGTATTATGAGTAATACAATGTAATATGCGGTATTCAAGATATTGCAGAGTAATACAAGGTATTGCAGAGTAATACCAGGTATTACCGAGTAATATAGGGAATTACAGATCCTAAATACTTGGAATACTTGTAAAGCAATGTACTATACGTAACATACGGAGTATAAGTAATAAAGAAATACACGATAACACGATCATGGTGTTACAAGGTAATACATGGAAGACACGAAATACTTGGTAATATCAGGTAAAATAGGGTAATACAGGCTTTGGGCGCAGTGGAATACACCAGTTGTTTACCCCTCGCCAAAGACTCCTTCCCCTAGCGCCACGCTGTTTGTCGCGTCTGTCCGCGAGTTATTGAATCCATCGAATAATTGTTTCAAGCGGTTCTCGCCTCAACTTAGTCACTATGTGGCTCAAAACATATTTCAGAATCGCAATTATGTCGTTAACAGTGTATATATGACTTAAACATATACATGGCCTGGATTACTATATGATGTCGCCACAAGAACGAATGGTAAAGGAAGGGGTGGCCATCATTGTGAGGCGTGAGGCGATAATTGTGGTTCAATAAATTTCTGCACCTATTCTCATCACTGGCCAATGTTTGCTGTGGGATATTTAAAAAAAAACCTTAACGCTAACGCTAACGTGAAAGCAGATGCCTGATACGTTTAGCGTTGAGCTTTTACTCCAAACTCTCACTTAACGCTCAGAACTAACAACAAAAACACAGCACTGAGCGCGGTGGCGTTTAACGCATCACCGTTGAACGCGGCAACGTAGAACGCATCACCGTTGACCACGGCAACGTTGAACTTATCGCCGTTCAACGTTGGCGTGGCGCGGGGTGTCTTGGCGCGGGGTGAGGCGGGAAGGCGTGTCACGCACGCACTCACACACGCGCACGGCATCACATGCAACGCACGGCCGGGCGCGGGGGGTGCCGGAGCGCGGCCGCCGATTTACGACTTTTTAAACGAACCAGTTTCTACCACACGGGCTGCGCGCGGGGGGCCAGAGCGTCATGTCGCCGCGACCACCTGTTGCATCTCAATTCCACATTACCTCAATACCGCCAACAATTAGCACTGTGCGACGTCTTACGTTACGTATTACGTTACGTCTTACGTTTCGTCTTACGTTACGTCTTACGTTACGTCTTACGTTACGTCTTACGTTACGTCTTACGTTTCGTCTTACGTTACGTCTTACGTTACGTCTTACGTTACGTCTTACGTTACGTCTTACGTTACGTCTTACGTTACGTCTTACGTTACGTCATACGTTACGTCTTACGTTACGTCTTACGTTACGTCTTACGTTACGTCTTACGTTACGTCTTACGTCACGTCTTACGTCACGTCTTACGT